ATCATGTAGAGGCTCTTCCACTGAGCCACAGCTCCTCTCCACAGCTTTCCAGGGTCTCAGGCACATCAGCTACTACCTGGTCCTTTTTAACTGGAGATGCAGGGGTTTGAACCGGGGACCTTCTGCATGCCAAGCAGAGGCTCTTCCACTGAGCCACAGCCCCCTCTTTACATCTCTCCAGGGTCTCAGGCGGAGGTCTTTCACATCACCTCCTCCTGCCTGGTCGTTTTAACTGGAGATGCCGGGGACTGAACCTGGGACCTTCTGCATGCCAAGCGGAGGCTCTTCCACTGAGACCCAACCCGTCCCCATGGCTCTCAGGCAGAGGCCTTTCCCATCACTTCCTGCCTGGTCCATTTATACTGGAGTTGCCAGGGATTGAACCTGGGACCTTCTGCATGCCGACCAGAGGCTCTAACACTAAGTCACAGCCCCTTCCCATGGCTCTCCAGGGTCTCAGGCAGAGGTCTTTCCCATCCCCTGCTGCCTGGTCGTTTTAACTGGAGATGCCGGGGACTGAACCTGGGGGCTTCTGCGGGGAAAGCGGAGGCTCTTGCCACTCAGCCACGGTTTTCACCACCCATAACAACAACCCTGCGAGGTAGGCTAAGGCCGAGGGAGAAAAGCGAGACCGCCTCCAGGCCACCCCCGCGAGCGGCCCAGCGCCCGCCCGCCCTGGCCCACTCACGACTCGGTTCTGGTCCGTGACGAACTCGTCGATGTTCTCCAGGTAAAGCTCGTCCTCCATGGCGGGCGGAGCGGCGTCTCGCCTCCTCCTCCTCCTCCTCTCGGCTCCCCCTCGCCTCAGCGCCCCGAAAAGCCCGCCGCCTCCATGGCAACACCCTGCGCGCGCTCTACGGCGGCCGCGCGGAACCACTCCGCCCTCCGTCTCCCCGGCGACGGTACGCCTCGCCCACTTCAGCACGACCTGAGCTACGGCGAGCGCGCCGGGACAAACCTCCTCAAGCTTCTCGCGCGCCCGGGTGCCTCCCGCAGCCCTTAGCCCCGCCCACGTCCTCCTGGGATTGGAGGGATGCGCGCAGGGCGGAGAACGGCCGTCAAGGGGATATGTTAGGGAGGTGGCGTTGCCAACCTCCAGCTGGGGCCTGGCGGCATCTCGAAATTACAACGGGTCTTTTTGATGGCAGAGATCAGTCCCCCTGGAGGAAATGGCTGCTTTGGAAGGTGGAATCTATGGCATTTATACCCCGCTGAGGTCTAGGTCTTTACTGGGATATAGTGCCATACAGAGTCCACCTTCCATAGAGTCCACCTTGCTGCAAATCTCTCTAAAACAGAATAAGAGAGATATAGAATCACAGAGTTGGAAGGGGTCACAGAGGCCATCTAGTCCAGCCCCCTGTTCAAGGCAGGATCAGCCTAGAGCATCCCTGAGCACAGTGTTTGTCCAGCTGCTGCTT